GCAAGTGACTCAATGGCACATAACAACAACAGCAGTGGGAATGATTTCTCCATGAAAGCAAATAGCATGAATAAATTTTTTTATTATTTGCATTTAAAATGTTGACCAGTGCTGAACACATTAAAAGAAAAAATAGAGAACAATAAAAGGATAACAAATAAAAGAAAAAAAAGCACCAAACAACTCAACCCATGAGTTGATTGCTGCTCCTATGGGACGGAGAAGAACTACCCTTAGGATCTCAAAGTTTGCCAATCTGTATGGAAGCAGATTACCTCTTCATTCTCCTGAAAATTAACTGGTGGATACAAATTGTTGGCTTTTTGGTTGTTGCTGTGCACTATCGAGTCAGAACTGACCCATAGATGACACTCCAGCAGGGTTTGAGGGGCAGCTAATCACAGGGGAGGTGATTGCCCATCCTTCTTCTGTGGAGCAGCTGTTCAGTCTGAATCTTATGCCTTTAGGATTGTAGTACAGCTTCCTACACTAGGCAACCAGAGCTTGCAACGCAGTCTTTAAATTACCTAGAGCTTTTATTTTCCATCGAGCTGAGTATGACTCATAGTGACCCTGTGAACAACACATCTAAACTATATCTTGTCCTGTGCTATTTTTATCATCTCTGATGTACTGGGTCCCATTGCAGCAGCCATTGTATTAGTCCATCTCACTGACCATGGATTGCTAGGAAAATGAACAGATTCATCCTGGAAAGGGTTAAACCGGGCAGCTCCTTGGAGGCAAGGATTCTGAGGCTCCATCTAACATACTTTGGACATGTTGTAAGGTGGGACCAGTCCTTGGAGAGGGACATCATTCTTGGTGGGGGGGGGGACAGTGCAGAGATTTCACAATTACTCGTTATTGGCCTGGATCAAGCATACCTTAGTCTCTAGACAGATATCATTGTTTTTCAGTACTCTGGAGAAACCGCTGACAACAGATTTTCCCAGTGCAATTTGTCTTTTGATTCCTAATTACTGTTTTTTTAAACTTTTTTATTAATTTCAATAAACATTTACAGAGATTTTGGATTTTCATTCATTCATTCATTGTTGCACTTTTCTCCCCATCTACCCCACCCCCACCCCAGTTCTCTCTTCTCCTTGAAAAGTGAAAGAAAAAACTCCTTCATTGATAATTACTGGTTTTAAGAGGATTGCTTGTGGAACTGAGCAAGCTGTAATTGTTAACAACCAAAATCTCTTCTCCATCTATCATGATGCTGCCAATTAAACAAATGGTGAGAATCTTCGTCTTCTTGATGTTGAGCTGAAATCCATATTGAAGACCACAATCCTTGACCTTCTGCACCAAGTACCTCAGGTCCTCTTCTCTTATAGCAAGCAAGGTTGTGTAATCTGCATAAAGTAGGTTGTTGATGAATCTTCCTCCAATCCTGATGCCACTTCCCTACTCATAAAACCCAGCTTCCAAAATAATCTATTCTGCATATAGATTGAAAAGGTATGGAAACAGGATACATTGCTGCTCTTCAGCACTTTGGAGAAATTCCTAACAGCAGTGCAATGCATCTTTTTTGCATTTGTTACTGCTGCTGTCAGCGTCTCCATTATGGATCCAAACAAGATTAAATCAATTCCTTTCTCTTCCTCATCTGTCATGGTGTTGCTGGTTGGTCCACTGGAGAAGAGTTTTGTTTTCTTGATGTTGAGATGCAACGTATACTAATGACTAGTCTTTCATCTTTTGCAGCAAGTGTTTCAAGCTCTCCTCACTTTCAGCAAGCAAGGTTGAATCAGCAGCATGATACAGGTTGTGGATGACTCTTCCTATGATCAGATGCCACATCCTTTATCATGTAGTCTAACCTCTCGAATGATCCCCCCACCCCCAAACAGTTTGAGAATGCAGCTACAGATAGGATTAAAGACTTATAGTTGACCCTGCATTGGGTTTCCCAGGTTGTAAATCACAGGAGGCAATCGCTAACCTTTCTCCTTTGGAGCTGCTGATGGATTCCAACTGCTTGAGAGGCTTGGTTAGGTTAGCAAGCAACACAATTCTCTACAGATTACACCACCAGAGCTTCTCCTTCCTCTATTAACGTGTAAATTCCTGAGGAAAATGTGCTTTTGTTCAGTCTCTTGTCATTTGTGCCTTTGAAGTTCAATATTAGGTTTCATTTCCCTTAGAATGCTCCATAGCCTTGAGAATGCAAAGTGTTTGCTATCTGCACATAACTCTTCTCAAAGGGCTCTGGAAGGTGCCGCCGCCCGGGGTTTATCTTGGGAAATCTTTAGTGCACATGTTTTTAAAAGCTGTGTTGGGTCTACTACAGACATTTGGCTTTTTAGTTTATAAATGTTTCCACTATGACTTTTACTTGGATTTTATCACTATATTTAAAGTTGCAATAGTATTCGAAGTATACACATTTAAACTAAGTTATATCTAACCTATCTAAATTTATTTTACATTTGTTGTTGTTGGTTGTCTTCGAGTTAAGCACGACTCATAATGACCTCATGAACAAAACGCCTGAAGCCCTTCCACAACCATAGCCATTTATCAAAGTTCACAATTTCCTGAGGCATGCTGTTTAGGAAGTGGATGCCACTAATTTATGTCTAATATATTTTCTGTTATACAATTAGATCATAGCACACCAAGTCACATAAAGTAAGGTAAAAGGAAGTAGACAGAAGAGAGAGAATATTTAAAATGAAATACTGAGTTAATGGTTCATGTCTTCCTCTTTATTTTTCTTTTAATTGTCGAACGGTGATGAAGGCTTGTTTCCTACAAACTAAAGGACTATCTAAAGAGATTTAATAGCTTAATGGTAAGGGGTTACTCTGCCAGCTCAGGAACAAGCAGTTTGAATTCACCAGCTGCTTTGCAGGAAAAAAATGGACAATCTCCTCCAAGTTATTTATTGCTTCTGTAGGGTCAACTGTGAGTTAGTTCTGTCTTGATAGTCTATAACTACCAGCGCAACAACAACAACAATAACAACAACAAAGAGTACTATCTACAGATCCAGCCTAATTTACAGGGGTGAAGAGGGAATGAAAAGGAATAAAACTGTAATATAAGTGATTAGAATGACAGAATGAGAGGTCATCATTAATAATACTTTTAATTTAAGAGTGGATAGAAGACACAACTGTTTTCCTGTCTGAAAGAACAGGGATAAGAAAAACAAGAAGTTGAGGTAATTGTCTCTAACAATCAAAGAAATAAAGCGACAGTTGAGAACATCTGAGACTGTTTGAAAGAACCTTTAAAAAGTCTCAAGATTTTCTAGGTATTCCAGTCCTAATTTCAGAGACTTCTGTATTCACAGAAATAAGTTAATGTTAAGAATGAGTTAATGGGGTTTCTTCCCCGCCCCAAATATTTGTGATTTAGTTGTTTGTTTTTTTCCAAGAATATCATTCTGATATTTATGAGTTATAAACAAAGTTACTGAACACCATCTCTCTGTGACTTTATTTGGCAAAAATGAGGACTTGGGAGTGATGATCCTGGTTTTAAGCTTGACATTTGTGCTCTGATCATGGTCTTCCATATTTGGAATGTTTTCATTTGGGCTCATCATTTTGTCAAATGAAAGACAATACAAATTTGAATGACAAATCCAAAAATCTATGCAGATATAGTTGAAGAAATGTCATTTGTTTAAATATACGTAGTGAGGTTACTTGTGAATAAATGATTTGCTACCAAGGGAGACAATATGTTGGCAGAATTTCAATTAGAAAAAAGAGATTAAAAAAAAGGATCTATGCTTTTTTCCATTTCCTTCTTTGATGATTATAGTGAGTAGTGTGAAGAATACAATTTCACTTCTAAATTTCTAGCATCTAAAAATTCTTTTTTTCCCCCTGACATCATAATGTAGCCTCAAAAAATCAGACAGTTATTATTACAAAAACAGAACACCTTTACTCAGACATTGAATCGACAATTCTAAACATCTGGATTATTTCCTTTTTCTGTGGTAACTGCTTTTAGTTGTGGAATCAAGCCACAATAACCAGGAATCTTTGTTATTGGTGGTTAGTTGCCTATTCCTGCTACATCTATCTTGCTTTTCCAGAAGTATTTTATTTGTTATGTAACTATAACATTTTGTTTTCTTTAAATCTCTATTAGAAAGCATAATTAAAATATTAAAATATTTAAATTTCTAAAGAAATAAGGATGATCAAGTGTTTTCTCATTAGACTTGTACATTTGTCATGTGAGAAAGTGAGGCTCTGAAGGAGTGAGTGACCTGACTAAGGGCACACAGAGTAAACAAAGTGTTAAAAGTGTGTGATTTTCTGACATCCAAGCAGATATATGCACATCCATGTTTATTGCAGCTTTGTTCACAAGAGCAAGGAGTTGGAAACAACCTAAGTTCCCATCAACAAACGAATGGGTAGAGAAGCTGTGATATATTCACACAATGGAATACTATGCTGCATTGAAAAACAAGGGACTCATGCAATGTTATTCAAAATGCGTGACTCTGGAGGACAATATGCTCAGTGAAGTATCCCAGTCACAAAAGGACAAATACTGCATGGTGCCACTGTTGTAAGACAGGACTGACCTTGGGGTTGGGGAGAGACTGAGAAAGATGGGTTCAACAATGTGTACTGCATTGAAACAGATGAGGGATAAAAACTGTTTAAAAGGGATATGTGATTAGGTATTTTTGTTATGACAAGAGTCTAGAGCAAAGGCTACATGATGGAGTGGACCTGGGGGAGGGTTTGTAAAACAATGAAAGAATTTGTCTTTTACTTTTCCAAGAGGGTAGTGTACTGGGGGGAGGGTTGGGAGGGGAGAAAAGTGCAACAATGAATGAGTGGAAATCCAAAGTCTCTGTAAATTTTTACTGAAATTAAGAATAAATTTAAGTAAATAAAAAAGAAGTGTGTGCTTTTTTTTGTCATTTCTTAGATGGCCGTCCATGTCCTGTCATTCTCTGGGATTCCTCTTTATCTCCAACAAGTAATGAGACCCACTCTTCTGTGAAGCTCACCTGGGGAACTTACCAGCAGTTGCTGAAACAGAAATGCTGGCAGAATGGTCGAGTACCCAAACCTGAATGGGGTTGTACAGAAATACACCACCATGAATGGTCCAAGATGGCACTCTTTGATTTTCTGTTACAGGTAAGTATAGACATTCAAATAAAAGTTTATCTATATCTATCTATCATCTATCTATCTATCTCACTGAAATTTTCAACACATTGAGGTTTCTTTATAGACAGAGTTTACATTTTATATTGCCAGTATTCTTAAATGTCTCTACTACTAGTCATCATATAATAATCTGGAAGCAATAGAAGAAGAATAAATTCCTTGAATTGTAGTGTTACTGAAGAGTAATGAATATACTGTTACTGCAGAAAACAGCTGAATCTGTCTTGGAGGACTTATATTCCGGATGTTCCTTAAAAACAAGGATGGTCTCACATACTTTGGCATGTTGTCAGGAAGGGCTAGTCCTTAGAAAATGACATTTGCTTGGAAAGATAGATTAGAAAAGGACAGGAAGAATCTTAATGAGTTGGATTAATACAGTGACTGAAATTGTCGGCTTAAGCACAGCAGGAATGGATAGATAACGCAGAATAGGGTTCTGATCCATTATACGTAGAGTCCCTGAGTTGGAGTCAAGGAGGCAGCAACTAACAACCTTGTGACAATGAGCTTTTGAGTCTATAAAAAGACAAAACCTTACAAGTATCTCTTTAAAATAATCTATCAGCAGCTCTTCAAAGTGGGAAGGTCTTACCCCATTTGAGAGGTGAGTAAACTAAAGTCTGGTGAGATTAAGTAAGTATCCAACTTCTCACAACTGCTAAAAGCTGGCATGAGGATCCTTTGGAATCTGTCAATAATAAAGGTTTGTCCTTTTTTATATCGTACTATATGCATCTGAGAACTGGACAATGACTAGGTAGGGAGGACAGATGAAAAATCAATGCTTTTGTGTTGTGGTGCTGAAGAGGAATATTGAACTATAATAGACAGCCAAGAGAACAAAGAAGTCTGTCCTGTAAGGATGACCAGTTTGCTCCCTGGAAGGAAGGATTTTGAAACTTAGGGACCAGTCCTTGCAGAAGGATAGAGGGTCAGTGCAGGAAAGGATGACCCTGGATGAGGTGGACCAACACAGTGATTGTGACAATGGGGGCAGGTGTATCAGAGACACTGAGATTGGTTCAAGCTAACATAGGTTAATAATCTATTGTTCACAGGGTCACTTTGAGTTGTAGTCCACTTGAGGGCACATAACAAGAAGAAGAACATATTATTTTAATGGTGATTTGACACTATAGCTTACAGCCACCATAGCTTTATTTTCTTTCCAAAATGGTTTGCAAATTTTTTTTACTAAAAGATGAAACATTGGAGAATAATAAAATGTCAATCGTCTGTTTAATCAAGTGACTTCTAATATTATATGTTTCTCACAATTCAATTTGGGAAGTATTTTTGTGACATTATTTTACATCTTTTTGATAATTATCACATGACTCCCTCTCTCCCCCCACCCCCTCAATCTCATGACTGCATTTCCGACTGTCAATTTTAGAAAAATAAACTTCCTGTTACAGTTGACATGGATACTGTTAAAGCAATTATGATTTAAGATTTTCTTAGGACATTTACAAAGCACGTTTTTGACATTTTTATCTGACATTTTAAGAAGGTACTAGAGAGGGATAAAAATTGTGTAACAACTATCAAGTTATTTCTGAGATAATAAAAAAGTTGCTGTGATAAAATGTAATAGTAATAATTTGGAAAAAGATTGAAGGTTTCTACAATTGAGCAGGGATCAATATTCAGGAGTTTTTGGAGTGATCAGTAAAGAAATTATTGATGATAATCATAAGGAGAATAAAAATCAAATTCCATGAATCTGGTAATGTAGTCTTTGAGAAAAGGATATACTTAAGCTTTTTTTAAAAGATTTTTACTTTATTAACTCAAAAGCTCATTTCCCTGGAGTCAGAATCAACTCATAGATGATCCTCCAGCAGGTTTTTATAGGCCGTAAATCACTTGGAAAGAGATTACCCATCATTCTTCTGCAGAGTTGGTGGATTAAAACTGGTCACCTTTAGGTTAGCAGGACAACTCCCTCCAGACTAGACCACCAGAGTTCCCTATGAAGGTTAGAAGTAATGTAATACAGGGCAATTCCTTGTAGAAGCCATTTCCAATGGCAGGTGTTTTGTCTTTGGAATCAGCAAGTAATTCTCTCTCTGATGTCAGTCATTACCCCCTCTGCTGGGGGACATTCTAATTATTATTCAGCCAGTTACCGTTTATGCAATGTTGCTTTACAGTGGGAGACAGTCACCAAGCAACGAAGAACAAAGATAAGAATTTTCCTTACCCCCTTGTTTCAAGTTTACAGATGTTTTTATTTATATATTGAGTCCAGACAACAACCAAAGACTCATGTAAGAATGATGAATTGATATGTCTTAAATTTAAACAGCAACAAGAAGAGACCTAAGGAGGGAGAGATTACTTTCGAGAACATGGGATAGTTAAGAACAAAGGAGTTGATTATAGGGAAAATGTTACACAAATGTGAGACGGAACATTGCTTGATATTCTCTTGGAGTTTAATGGGGTCTTGCTTATATTTTCAAGACTTTTATTATGACTGAGACTGTGGATTTCATATTCCTAATGGTGTATTTAAACATTTTTGTGGTGACATGAGTAAAATTTTACAAATCATATTATTTTTTAACATTTGTGCACATTTTGCTCCATACATCAATTATAATAGTTTTTTAAATGATCAACATTTTTCACCTGAATTACTTTTTTCAAGTTCTTGTCTATTTTTAAGTATCTTATTATGTAATATTGGAAGGAGGAGTGGCATCCACTTCCATAACAGCTTGCCTCCGGAAATCCTATGAACCTGGAGAGAGGATGAAAGGCACCCAAGCGTCGAGGACTCTCCTTCACAAGGTCGCTATGAGTCGCCTGCAACTTGACGGCACTTAAAAACAATATAATGTAATATATTTTATCTATGAAATCTGTCTTTATAATGAAGATTGACTTTTATCCATAATATATGTCTCAAACGATTTATCTTGCTTTGATGTTTTCCTGATGATTTTGTTTATGGTACATTTTGTTCCATAGAATTTTTACTTTTTCTTTTTTTTTATAAGCAAGAATATATTAATTTCTTTGCCTCCTATGTTTCATGTCCTACTTAAGAAAAATATTTATTATATGAATAAACAAATACACTTAGGCTATCTTCCTTGAGTATCATAATAGTTATTTTCTTCTATAAAATAACACTTACCAACTATAATAAATTATTTCCATTTCAGAAAATATATTTAGTTTAAATGGAATTTGGAGCTATCATAAAGGCATCAGTTGCTTTTGTGAATAAATCTTAGCAAGGTTATGCCTGAAACAATAAAAAATTACTGGCTCTGTGGTGCTGGAGGGGGAGAACAAGGAATACAAAACCCAGTTGTTAATTTTTCATACACAGCATTCTTTATGTTTCTCCCAATTAACAGATCTGCATTCATAAAGGCAATGCCATTTTTCTGGGTCTGTAAAATGTGATGGAATCACAAGTGATCTTTTATTCTGGAAGTGTGGGTGTCTGTACTGCACAGACAAGAATTCACCTCAATTAAGATGGCAAAGAAAAGTGTTCTAGACAGCTTTTGAGTTTTCAAGATTCAGTCAAATTTCTTTCAAGGAGTCACATAGAGTAAAAGGAGTAAACTTACAATGTAGAAAATTTCCTTTTTTGACCTCAGAGACAGGATAAGAGAGTGGTCAAGGACTGACTGTCTGAAGTCAATCTATTGAATTAGCATCTCAGTACTGCAGCTATTAGATTTTTGATGTTAAGTTGTTACTTAGGCTGTCGTAACCTAAGTTTCCTCATCTGTAAATAAGGATAATAATAGTGGGAATTCCAGAACAGTTGATTGTATTTATGCAAAACCTATACTTGGTCCAGGAGGAAGTCCTCAGAACAGAGCAAGGAAACACTGCATGGTTCAAAATTGGAAAGGGTGTGTTTCCAGGATGCGTCCTATCTCCGTATCTTTTCAATCTATATGTGGAACAGATTATCTGGGAGGCTAGGCTCATAGAGAAGTGTGGCATTAGGATTGGAGGTAGACTTCATCATCAATCTGTGTTATGCAGATGACACAATCCTGCTTGCTAAAACCGAGGAAGACCTGAAGTGCTTGCTGCAGAAGGTTTAAGGACTGCAGTCCTCAATATGAATTGGAGCTCCACATCAAGAAAACAAAGATTCTCACCACTGGGCTTATTGGCAGCATCATGATAGATGATGAAGAGATTGAGATTGTTGACGGCTTCACTTTGCTTGGCTCTACAATCAACACTCTAAGCCCTAGGCAATGGCCAGGACATTAAAATACAAATTGCATTGGGAAAGTCTGCTGTTAGTAACCTCTCCAAAGTACTGAAAAACAACAATGTCAGTCTGGAGACTAATGTGCACCTGATACAGGCAATCACTTCCTATGCTTCAGAGAGCTGTACAATGACTAGGGATGATAGAAGGAGAGTTGATGTCTTTGAGCTGTGGTGTTGGAGAAGGGTACTGAATATACCATGGACTGTTAGGAGAACAAACAAGTTCATCCTGGAGAGGATGAAGCTGTGGTGTTGGAGAAGGGTATTGAATATATCATGGACTGTTAGGAGAACAAACAAGTTCATCCTGGAGAGGATGAAGCTGTGGTGTTGGAGAAGGGTATTGAATATACCATGGGCTGTTAGGAGAACAAACAAGTTCATCCTGGAGAGGATGAAGCCAGGCTGCTCCTTGGAGGCAAGGATTCTGAAGCTTCATCTGACATACTTGGATATGTTGCAAGGTGGGGTGAGTTCTTGGAGAGGGATGTCATGTTTGGGAGGGTGGAGGGACAGCACAGGAGAGGAAGACTCGATGGGATGGATTGATTCAGTGACTGGGGTCATGGGGATTGGGGTGTGGGAGACAATAAAATAGGCAAGGGATAGAGCAAGGTTTAAGGCTCTTGTACATAGGGTCACTATGAGTCGCATCCAACTCTACAGCACATAACAACAACAACTAAATTGCTGTTGTGATGACT